ATTCCAGTTGTTAGAACAGTGCTTAGAAAAGGTGATATTTAGATAATTTGAATCCTTGAAATACTGGGGGCTCTATTAATCCATTAAATTACACTAAAATCAGTGGTTCACAAATTTATAGCCTCTGGCTCTGACATTCTGTACCAGACTGCTGTGTCCTGTACTTTGTGCCCTCTGCTATACTAACTGAGGGCAGGAGTGGTGCCTGTGATGAGGAAGGGGGTTCATGTTTTACAATCTGGGTTCATCTTGCGGTTGGTGTTGAAGCGCATAATCATGTTGCTCAGTGTCTGCTTCTGAGGAATCACCGGCTAAGTCCTTACCCACATCATCGTGGGCTGGCGGCATGGCCAGGATCAACCATCCTGTTCCTAGGGACAATTCACACATGGGTTCAAGGTGAATTTTTGTGAGGGAGAACACTTAAAAACCCCATACCTGGTTTAGGAAATTTCATTTTCTGTCATAAGAGTATCTTAGAGTCTTCTCCATTTTCTTCACTCAGTGATGGCTATTTTGAAAGCACAAAATGAGGAAATCTTTCTCATAGGAGCTCACATGGATAATAGTCTTTTTTATTTGGAATTGCATTTCAACTTTATACCTACATGAAGATGAAATACTGTATTTTGGTGACTCAAAGTTAGAGGAGTCTTGATGATCCTTGAGCTAGAATTCATAAAATTATAATTATAAAAGATTCAGAATTTAGATGTCTATCAAAATGACTTATAAAAGTTTTTCTGAAACATGATGCACTATTTCACTTAGAAAGAATACAATAAAATACTGATTATCAGGAAAAATTATGTACTGGATTCAGAAAAGAATGGTTCTGCCCTTCAATTCATGTAAGTTGATTGTAGAAAGTTTTACAAATGCACACATACATGCAACTACCAACTAAATGGAGACATTTCTAGCACTCCAGAATGTTCCTTTGTACCCCTCCCACCCCAAAGTTTTTATTATATCACCACTGATAAGCAGGCTTGCCCTTTTATAAGAATTATGTACTATCTTAGTTATTTTTGTTGCTGCATGTTATCTTTTTCTTTGCTATGTAGTATTCCCTGACAGTATATAAATGTTTTCTCTTTTGTACTGTTAATGGTTATTTATATCTTTGATGACAGTGTTGATTACTTTTTATGTTATTTATCATTTGAATATTAATTTATGTAAATTAATATTAATTTCTGTAAACTCTACCATCAATAATCAGATTGTCTGTTTTTTTCTTTTTGATTTGCAGGCATTCTTAATATATAGTAATAAGGGCAATGAATATAGCTCAGCTTTCTAAGCACCTGCCTGGCAAGTGCAAGGTTCAGAGTTCAATCCCCGCACTGCAAAAAAAAAAAAAAAAAAAAGAAAGAAAAAAAAAGTTTAAAAAAATTAATATATACTAATGAAGTTCTTTTTCAAGTTCATGTGTTGTAAACATCTTTTGAAAGTTTATGACTTGTATTTTAACTCTTTAAGTTATATTTTTGATAAACAGAAGTCCTTAATTTTAATGAAATCAAAGTTACCAATCTTCTTTTGGTGTTATATTTTTAAAAAAATTGCCTACTCCATGGTCACAAAATTTTCAACTTTTTTCCTAAAAAAATTGTGTATTTTATTTTCATATTTAGATCTCTAACACATTTACGTTATTTGTTGTGTAATGGTAGTTTGAGCTGGGAGTCAAAATTATTTTTTGCAGATACATATCAATTGATCCATCACAGTTCGTTAAAAATCCATTTTTCCTCACTGAATTATATTAAATACAATTATGCCACTTGTGTGAATCCCCAGCCTGTCCTTCTGAGATTCTGAAAGCTGTTTAATTTAAACCATTTTGTGTGATATTGGGAACTAAACCTAGGATCTCATATGTGCCAAGCAAGTGCCCTACCACATTGTTTTGAGATTATTTTGAATCTAGAGATCACCTGTGGAATATTTTATATCCCAAAATATTCATAAATTTATATCCTAAAAATACATGAAAATGGTATGCCTCCCATTTGCTTAGGTTTTATTTAATTTCTCTTTGTCATATTTTATGGTTTTCAGTGCAGAAGTTTTGGATAAGTATATTCATATAAATTTAATTTTTTGATGCTAGTACAAATAGATTTTATAAGAAATGTATTTTATAAGTGATGGGCTTCTTGCCAGTTTTCACCAGTAGGTCATTTTAGAATACTGATTTTGTATTTAGAAACATTATTAAGTAGATGTATTAGTTATACAGGTTCATAGGTCAAGTTTTCTTTGGATTTTTAGGCATGCAACAATCACAGGAATGATAGTTTGATTTCTTCCTCCACAGCTTTTAAGTTTGTTTGTTTGTTTTCTTTTCCTGGCCTTATGCTATTTTGTTATAATCTCCATCTCACTGCTATCATCTCATAGGAAAATTACTCAGTATTGCATCATAGAATAGGGTGATTGCTGTAGGCTTTTGGAATTTAACCTACATCAGATTAAAGAAATTCCCTTGTGTTTTTATTTTGTTAAAAGTACTTTTTAAATCATAAAAACGTGGAATTTTATCAAAATCTTTCTATGCTATCAAAGTGATGGCTAGCATTGCCCTTGAAGACTAGAAAAACAAAAAATTCATGTAGGCTATTGTGCAGCTGGACAGGTAGCGCTGAGTTCATTATTTTGGACTTGTGGCTGGATAGCTAAGGCCAACTGAGTCTGATGGCCCAATTATGAAGCGACAGTTCAAAAATATTTCCCACTACACCAGCAACATAAAATATCTTCCTTGTCTCTAAAGTCTTCTTGATAGTAACACAGCTTTCTCCTGATTGGTGCTTATGTATAATTTTTTAAAAAGTCCCTTTACTTTCATCTTATGTGTCTTTATATCTCATTTTTATAGAGATCACATAGTTGGGTCTTGTTTGCACTGCTTTTAAATTGCAGCAGATAAACCATGATGTTTAACATAAATATTTACAGGTTTAGCTGTGTCTAGCACCTTGTTTTGTTTGTCCTATTTGTTTTTTCCTTTGTCTTACTCTTTTGAGCTAATTTAGTATTTTTTAGTATTCCCTTTTATTCTTTTAAGGATTTACTAGTTAAAATCCCATGTTTTCTTCCATGGTCATTCTAGGGTTTATGTGCATTTTTAACATGTATACTTAGGAGCTGGGGAGATGGCTCAGTGGAATAAATGCTTGGCTGGCAAGCACAAGAGCCTGAGTTCGATCCCCGGTTCTGCAAAAAAAAAAAAAGATGCTAACATGTATACTACTTCACATATAACACAAACACCATTTAACTACACTTCCATATTATCCTTCCAATCATTTTAATCATAACATTTTCATTGCTTTAATTCTACTGTTATAAGCTCCATAGTATATTGTTTTTGACAATTGTCATTTAAAGACAAAAAGATCTTTGATAATTACAAATGGCTAGCACATTTTGTAAAAGTATGATCAATACCTTTGTTTTCTTGTTAATTCTAAACTTATCCATTGAAATAATACATATTTGGTCATATTTTATTATAGGACTTAAGTTGGATTTCATTTTGTTAGGACATACTTACAGAATAGCACATTATAATGAAAGTTAGAAATCAATTCATAGCCCCTGACTATGTTCATGCTCTCTGACACAGCTTGCCTGGACTGTCTAGGCCCAGATGTTCCCCCTTAACAATGTGTGGGATCAAACTGACCAAATCCAGCTTGAGTTTTAAAAATATACAGTGATTCCAACTTATTTCAGGGGCTTCAAGGCTGTCATGTTTAGGGGAAGGCCAGCCCAGGCAAGGACACTTTCTACTTTACCTACTCTTCTCAGACCCCTCCCTTCCAGAATGTTCCTGTATAAACCTGCCTGACAACATATGACATAACTGTTACATTCTGTGTAACCAATCATGGAATAACCTGCTTATTAGCTTTGTACCTTTCACTCTCAAAACATGTTTAAACTGATCTCAAACCTGACGCTGGGCTGGTGATTTGAACCTCTGAGTTCTCCAGCCTGCTATCATAATAAAACTTACCTTTTAACTCCTTGGTGCAAAGTCTTCCAATTGCTTTGGTATTGGTTTCTCTGCTACATTTCATTTACAAACCTACAGTGCATTAGCTAGTGAACTTCTATGAGGGCAGATTCACTGGTTTTTTTCCTCTCTGAAATTTAGTAAAATATCTGATATAAAAAGATAAATCTGAAATAAATGACAAAATATACTGTGTTCTTTTAAAGAAAGTTTGAGAGGTCAGAAGTGTGTAGCAGTAAGAGAGGGAGAGGTGTGTGGTATTCCAGGAAACAAAGGAAAGACGTCTTAGGGTGTGTGGTCAGTTGGGTTTCAACAGCACCAGCCTTAAATGAAGGTTTTAAAGGGGTTTTCAGACTTTGTGATAAGGACGTTCGGTAAGGCTGGTGATGTTTATTACGCGAGGTTACTCTCTCTTAAAGGAGTGGGAAGGGCAGAAGAAGAAACCAGTCCTTTTAAACACTAGCAGGGCACAGAAACAAGGCAAGGCTGCTCTCACCGCTCCTCAGCTCCCACGTGGTACAGATCCTACCTGAAAAAGGGGTGACCCCTGGTCATGGGGCGCTCCAGGCCTCGTCAGCTGTACTCTTGGCTGAAGCACTGAGATTTTAGTTGCCCAGAGTCCCTTGGACGCCACCCTGCTGCCAACTGGCGAGGGTGCTCCTCTTCTCCAAACTTCCTTCGCCTAGCACGTGGGCAGCCTCTGTGACAGTCCTGGGCACCTGACGCTGCAGCCGCCGGAGCTTCCGCTTCAGCTTCCGGTCCGGGTGAATCTCAAGGGGGGGACACTTCCAAGGTTCCGGCCGCAGCCG